GGAGAACGCCCCGCCCACCGGGGTGGGTCTCCCTAATTCGATGTGACTTACCAATGCACACCTTTACCCACTTTTTGGCCCAGTTTCGAGGCTGTTTTGTGACTGAATTTGAAATCTTGGTCCTCAGTACTTCATTTCGATGCACGCCACGCCCACTGTGGGCGGGGCTCCGCTTAGGTGATGTATGTTTTTTACTTCTCGAGATATGGTACACCCATCCCAAACTTGACCTGGACCCAGTAGGTTGTTGTTCGCTTAAAGGAATCTTGCGCGGAAAAATCATGATTCTATTTCAGCCATAAATCACTGGCTTGAGACTCATTATCCACGATAATAGTGAAAAGAACTGAAGTATTGCTTTCGTTTTGATTAGAAATTCGAAAACTCGAAAAGGCTGCTACGCGTTCGAATTGCCCACGGACGTCTTTCACGAATGCTGGCGACGGGGATGCTCAAACTTGGTTCTTGGAGTGCATTCACTAGAAGCTCTTTCTGGCCTTCTGCTTCGTTGCATTCACATCTTACACTTCTACTCCATCCTATTCCATCGATCGATTTGTCTCCACTCTCCGAAATCGCGCGCTTTAACCCGATTCTCTCATTGCGTCGCCTGGTACGTAGCCGGCCAAACGCCGTCTTCTTTCCATGCCTCGCCTGGCTCTGCCTCCTGGTCCTTCGATGGTCCATAACGTGTAGTTTTTGTACGTTTGTTTCTCTTCAGAAACCGAATCTTCATGCGTGAAACTTTGTGTGCTATTTCCAGTGATCACAACTGACATATTCATGTTAGGAAAGAGTGCAAGAATTTTCCGCGCAAGATTCCTTTAAAGGGATTTGTGACAGACGAAGACAGACCGACAAACAGACAGACAGACAGACAGAATTAGCGCATTATATATAGTAGGGATACACACTGCGTCCCATAATTATAATATAACTCCACTTAAAAATCTTCCAAAATCTCACAAATTTAGATGTTTTAGAAAAAGGTCTCAATGTGGCAGTGTGTTAAATACAAATACGAAATTGCTTATAAACATCATCTTCCAACTTGAATCCAGGAATTTTTTCTAATAATTTTTGTTCAAAAGGCCACTTAGCCGACGTCCCAAAATTATAACTCCACCTCATGTTTTTCTATTATTTTTCACTTCCGTTTCGCCAAACTTTTTTATGCTAACATCCTACTTCTCAAGGGGACAGTATGATAGAAATGCTGTCTGACTTTTTAAAAGGTCAGGTCGTCGCAAAAACTACTAATTAGGCAATCGCACAAGATTTTGACCAAATTCACGAGGAGCTCGAGAATTTTTTCAGGGATTTTACATGATATGGAGTTGAGAAGAACTCCAAAGGATCTCCCCTTGCTTTTCGGTAGAAACAAAGGCCGTGTCACAGAAGAAACATCCTTTTTTAGTAAGCCGTGCTCTGCCATCGAATCTTCCCTGAAACTTAATGTCTCAAGTGAGCAAGGTTCCTTGCTCACAAATGAATCCCAAGTTGATCCTTGAGTGGAAAATGTGGAAGGCACCATTTGTGGCAAAAGACGGTGACGGGAAACTCAGGCCGAATTTTGCATTAAAGGAGGAATTCACGATTAGAATGAAGGTCGAAGAAAGGGAAACTGACCTAGTTGAGGGACCCACGGACCTCCTGAGGGTGCGAACTGACGCGCAATTCGCATGGAAAAATTTGACCTCGGCGACCTATCATGCCTCAAAGCTGGCGGGTCCGGCGATCTCCGCCCACCGATCATCTGATCACTCGCCGTAGTTCAATACGTGGCGAGTGATTAGATAGCTGAGAGAGCGTAGTGTTGAAGAGGGCACAGCGATGAGAGTCGCATCAATGCTCGAATCAACGGGCAAGGAAGGGGTCCCATTTCTCGGGTTCTGGGCCGTTTCTCATGGTTCTTCCTTCTTTCGTGTACCACTCACCATCCCTAGGTTAATTTGAAATGGGTTGCTTTTTCATCGTGAATTCGTCCTTTAAGATGCAACGAGCTAAATGTGACTGCCGGTCGCTTTTTGTCTGTTATGCAGCTACTGTTTGTCCGTCTTTGTCTACACCATTTTCTTTCTCGGGGTAGTGCTTCAGCGGATAGAGAACTAGCTACTACAGATTACGAAATAATCACGAATGTGAGAAGACGAACAAATGCTCAAACATATCAAGCAAAATCGGACCCTACTGCAGTGGGCTCCGCTGCATCTTTATGTAAAACTTGGCTGACTTTTCGCCACGGTTTTTCTGCCACAGATAGTGCCTTCTACATTTTCCACTCAAGAGTCAACTTGGGACTCATTCGTAAGCAAGAAACGCTGTTCCGTTGAGACATCAAGTTTCAGTGAAGATCCGATGGCAGAGCATGGCTAAGTAAAAGAGGATGTTTCTTCTGTGACACGGCCTTTGTTTCTATCAAAAGTAAGGGAGATCCTTGGAGTTCTTCTCAGCTCCATATCCATGTAAAATCCCTGGGAAAATTCTTGAGCCCGCGTGAATTTGGTCAAAATCTTGTGTGATTGCCTGCTTAGCAGATTTTGCGACCTTACCCTTCAAAAAGCCAGACAGCATTTTCTATCATACTGTCCCCTTGAAGAAGTAGGATGTTAGCACAATAAAAAAGTTTGGCGAAACGGAAGTGAAAAATAATAGAAAAACATGAGGTGGAGTTATAATTTTGGGACGTCGGCTAAGTGGCCTTTTGAACAAAAATTATTAGAAAAAATTCCTGGGATCTCAAGTTGGAAGTTGATGTTTATAAGGCGAATTTCGTATTTGTATTTAACCTCTGTAACATTGGAGACTTTTTCTAAAACATCTAGGTTGTCTCATAAATAGTGTCGCTTTTTTTCAACCAAAAAATTTTCATCTGAATCCCATGCTTTTACATCGAGTCATATACCATTCGAAAGAGAATTGTCTGCTCTACAAGATGTTGTGTTCTCTTCCATCTATGTTCCATGGTTTTCAAATTTTAGGCCTGCGAAATGGGAGGTCCCGCCGACAAAAATTGACCAAACCGACAACTAGCTCTAACTTTATTTCCCTTGGGAAATCAATCAATGATGTACCCTCTACTTACTCATGACCTCTTCTGAACATTCCACCCTTAGGTTGCCGAAAAAGGTTTGCCCTGTTTCTTTTCGAATTGGCCGACCGATAAGCCATGGCAATTTTCAAATTGAAATTCTTCCTCTGAAACGCTATTGTTTTATATCTTTTGTGAGCACTTCTTCTGCTCTATTCGCTCATTTGTTTTGTTTTGATGTTTGTTAGGAATTAGCTCGAATTTTAGGTGTTTAGGAGTAAGGTGCTTTATCCACGAAAGTGACCGCATTTCTTTGAAAAAATTATCCTTGAGAAGATGAGAAAATCAACCAGGCGTACATTCCTAACTTAGTCATGACTTGTTCTTTAAATTCTACTAGTTTTTCAATGTCTCGGCTATAAAAAAATTTCGACCTCGATCTCAGGTAATGGTGCTCGACCGTCGAGTTCTGGTTGAAAAACCAGGTCTGGAAATGGAATGACGCGACTTGTTGGGAAACCTAATAGTGTAATGTTTAGAAGAGGTCATGCATAAGTAGAGGGTACAGTATTTGATTGATTTCTCCAAGGGAAAATAAAGTTAGAGATAGTTGTCGGTTTGGTCAATTTTTGTCGGCGGGACCTCCCGTTTCGCAGGCGAAAAATTTGAAAACCATGGAACATAGATGGAAGAAGAACACGATATTTTGTAGAGCAGACAATTCTCTTTCGAATGGTATATAACTCGATGTAAAAGCATGGGGATTTAGATGAAAATTTTTTGGTTGAAAAAAAGCGACACTACTTTATGAGACAACCTAATAGATTTGTGAGATTTTGGAAGATTCTTAAGTGGAGTTATAATTATGGGACGCAGTGTATGTACGGAATGGAAACCTGAGTAAGTTCTCTTGTAACTTGCGAGCACGCTATCGTTTTTTTAGAGTCTCAGAGGTGATTGAATGTCTATCGCCTTTCCTACGGACGGAAAAAACAGCCAGCTTGACCCAATCAGCGGTGCGGTGGGAACGTGAAGCTACATGTTTGAACTAAAACAGTTACATTGAAGCTTCGTTCACTCAAAGCGGGTCATTCCCATACAAGATATGCATCATACGAAAAAGAACAAAACGTAAATGTGCTTGGCGCTCATCCTTACCAGCAGGCGTTTGATTCTGAATACGCCCTCCATCGAAAATCCCCATGCTAGCTTATTCTGGATCTAGGGATACGAAGCGGATTACTACAATAGCCGGCTCTCGATGATTGTAAGCCGTATGCACAAATACTCCCGTCAGAAGGACGATGGTGGCTGCACTCGTTCGACCTCGAGATTTTTTGTGTAAATGGGAAGTTTTCTTTGTGCGCAGCATGACGCAAGGTCATCGCTCTTTTACGGTGGATTATTTGCAAAAACGCTAGGGAAAAAGTCTCTCCCCGACGAACGGACCGCTCTTCTAGAGAACACCTTGAAATCCTCCTATGATTGATTTCTGAGTGACAACGATGATCGCGGGGTTATGATAAGAAATCTTTCATTGTACGAATACAAAACGGCGACGTAATAAAGCTTTCAGTCTATAGAGAAGCATGTAGCACAGCACATTGCACATATACATTAGTAAGGGTGGCAGTAATAACAGATAGATCAGCGTTCTACCTGGATGAGTTTGTGGGAACATGGCTCTGGGTAAGGTATTAGAACCGCTAGATATATTGCATCATCGGCTAAGGTTGTCTGCAGTGAGTGACGAAGAGGCAAGAAGGTCGGATGAAACCTAACTGCTGGCGATAAACTACCTAAATCTCAGTCATTTCTCTAGCGACCTATTCAATGGGAAAATTTGGTCACACCGAAGAACCTCTTCAGACTGACTATTCAAAGAAAGAAGTCAAGGTGAACAAATAGCAGAAGAAAAAGTCACGATCTACAACGACGAATCAATCAATAAATCGATTATCGGAAACGATTATTGAGTGTCCATAATGTTTTGAGCGGTGAGCATCGACTTGAATTGATCGACTTCTCTCTTCAGCTTGGCGATCTCCTCCTTTAAATGATCGTTCTCGTTTTCCAGAAGCTTAAAAAGACCAGTAAAGAGGTGTGGTTAACGGTGACGTGAGTGTCCTTAGAGCAACATTCAAGAGGCCTAGGAAATCACGGACCTGTACACGACGACTCCTGTACTCGAATACAGCTCTTCGATTCGCTCGACAGCGCTTGGCAGCCTCGTTATTTCGCCGTCGTCGATCCATGTACTGTTCCTAGGAATGCAGTAAAGCCACAAACAAATAACAAAGAAAGCCGATTTCAGAAAATATGTTAACCTTTTTGTCATCGGAACTGTTGTCGTCGAGAGCGCGTCTGATCGCCGACGACTCTGGATGGTCCTCGCTTGATTGTGAGGGCGACAGAGAAGCTGACGACGAAATTGACTCGCAGTCGGATTTTGACGGAGAAAGCTGAAAAGACTGGTGTTAATTAATATAAAGTGATCTGATAATTTCCTATTTATAAACCACTCAGGTAAATTCCTACTAATGAAGTACAACTGACCCTAGGAGGACTGCCGAGGCGACTGTTATGTTCGGTCCTGCTCTGTGGCACTGCTGGCGACGTCCGACGGGTGGCCAGTAGAGCGCCTAGTAGCGAATGAGAGGGAGCACGTTCTTGTTGTTGTTGTTGAGGTGAAGGAACTGATTGGAAACAAAACTGTTAACTTCTTGAGTAGTTGTTTTTATGGTAGCCGATAAGATCACCTCTTTGAATTACGCGATCGACACGATCGCTGCTCGAATCCGGACTGATGCGCTCGGCCTTCATGATTACCGACTCCTTGTGAGCGTGAAAAGGCTGGAACGCTGAACCAACAGAAAACACTGACGACGACGGGGTGGAGCGGTACTGAATAGAAGCTGGCTTGATTACACAACCTTCAACCATCTTCAGCAGCATATACTTCGAAAAATTCCAAGAAAAAATCTCATATTTCTGCTTTTCGTTGAAACTTCGCTTACGGAGGTAATTCGATGCCCTATTACGGATGAGACGTTCATTTTTGTTGCTGGCACCACTCGACTGCAGTTGACGCAACCTTGTCACTACGTCTGTTTTCACTAAATTCGGTGTAAACTTGTATAGGGGTTATTCCGAATCCTGATTATAAATGTGACATTAGTTTATGGCGTTGGCGCCATTTGGCGCCTATTTACTGCTTTTCAGCGCCCTCACACTGCTCAGATTTGAGCAAGCCCCACCCTGTGATTTCACAAACTCCACCTCTTGCCGTACAATGCGCAGTTTACCCAACGCGGTGCCCCTCTTCCCAGCAAGCTTGCCCTTAGGCACTGCACCTGAGTGAGAGAGTCCAGATGAGCAGAAAATGTGCGTTGGACGCCAATTCCGAAAACGATTGTCATATTCGTAATCAGGATAGCAAACAAACCCTATACACAAGCTCACACCGAATCTGATGAAAACAGCCGTCATGACAAAGTGACCACCACAGCGTCAAATCGAACATCATATTCGTAATCAGGGTATCGAAATACTTCCATAGTAAAGTTTCAACGAGAAACTAAATTTTGAGATTTTGGGGCAGTAGTATGTAATATGTAGTAACAACGTGCCAAAAATCCCATTCGAGACTTTGGATAACTCAGGCCCGAGAAATGTAGTACATATCACAAGAAATTCACAAAAGGCTCTCACAGAATTATGGAGTAATTTGGAACTTTCAAAAATGCGGATTGAAAAATTCCAGCGAATAGTTTTCAAGAGTAGCTATCTATAAGCGAAATGGCAAAAATTGTCGCGATACGAAATGCGTGAAATTGAAAAGCACAGCGTCCGGCTTTGTGCTCGATTTATGCAGCCCGAATGACCTCGATTTGCGCCATCTATGGACGATTTCGAACAGCTGCACAACCGGCTTCTCATCTGCACCTACGCAAGGAATGGCACCGGAAAAGTGGCATACAAAGACGGACTGACCTGCTGATGAATAGCCGCCTGGAGTTGGCAAAGTTGCATGATTGGTAGCTGAGAAGTCGACGACAGTAACGGAACATGTGATAATGGAAGACTGGAGACGGTGGTCGTATGAAGAGTGGGCAGTGGAGGAACAGCTAGTGACGATAAACCTACGGACGACGTGTGGCAATTGATGAGTGAACAATGACTGAAATGGGAGGCTTCAATTTGCTGCTTCAAAATGCGGCTTTATGGACAACAGTTACCGCGCACTGCTCTTCTAACCAGCAAAGAGCAAAATCTCTCTAACTTCATTTGTTTTTAGGAAAAGTTTAGAAGTTCTTTCTTCGGCATTTCATTCCTCGGAATCGCATCGGTCACAAAGACTGAGCTTCAACAGGGAGGAGAGAATCCAGATGTGTGAGCAATTTTCATTTTATTCCAACCTTCCTGCCTTCTGCTGAGCTTAATTCCCCGTATTTCGCGACGGCTCCCTAAGATGCTCATCTAACCCATGTCTATCGCTAAGTATAAACACCTCAGAACAACTAATATGAGCGCAAAAATCCAGAGAGTATGCTATTACATAGTTTTACTTACCGTGCTGCTCTGTGGTGGAAGAGCGGGAAATTCCGACCGAGCGGTCTGTAGCAGACTTTCGGCGGCTGTACGGGACTCCAAGCGAGATTTTAGTAAATGATTCTCCTGTGAGA